AAATTTAGGCTTAAATTGAATAAAGTAGGGAAAAGCACTAGGCCATTTAGGTATGAACTAAATCATATCCCTGATGAATATACAATAGAAGTGACAAATAGATTTAAGGAATTAGATCTGATAGACAGAGTGCCTGAAGAACTATGGACGGAGGTTCGCAACATTGTACAAGAGGTAGCAATTAAAACCATCCCAAAGAAAAAGAAAGGCAAGAAAACAAAATGGCTGTCTAAGGAAGCCTTACAAATAGCTGAGGTAAAAAGGGAAGCAAAAGGCAAGGGAGAAAGAGAAAGATACACCCAATTAAATGCAGAATTCCAGAGAATAGCTAGAAGAGATAAGAATGCCTTCTTATTCTTTGAACAGTGCAAAGAAATAGAAGAAAACAATAATAGAATAGGGAGGACCAAAGAAAATTGGAGATATGAAGGGAACGTTTCATGCAAAGATGGGCATGATAAAGGACCAAAATGGCAGGGACCTAACAGAAGCAGAAGAGATTAAGAAGAGGTGGCAAAATTACACAGAAGAACTATAAAAAAAGGAGCTTAATGTCTCTGATAATGTTGTGGTCTGCCGGCAGCCTGTGGAGCTGGCAGCAGAGTCGGACAGTGAGGAGGTTGGGGAGGAACATGGGCCAGTCCTGGAGTCTGGGGAAGGCTGGGACAAGGGCTTTGCATCGGAAGCAGAGAAAGGGCCATCTGGGGGGTACTTGCTGCCTCCGGAGCCTCCAGTCGGACCTCAATGAGGCAAAGGAACAGGGGGAGCCTGTTCCTAGTGCAGGCATGCGCAGAGCTGCCAGAAGGCAACAACAGTTAAAACAAAAAGGATAACTCAGGAGTAGGACTTGGAGATGATTGGCCCCTCCCATAAGATTTAAAAGAGGAGCAAAGGCATGTGGGCCTTTGCAGGAAGCAACGTTGTTAATTCTGTTCAGTTTAAAGTCTAAGGCTCTGTTTGATTCTGGATTTCATGTGGCTTTGCCAATTAGGTCTTTGGCAGCATGTCAAGGGAGATAAAGGTGGGCGATTATCAGCCTTATCCCAAAGGACTCTTTACAACTATTTGGGACTCATCTGTGAATGAACAGAATTCACAACTGTTGCAATAAAAGAGGTTTTTGGGACTACTCATGTGTTTTACTGACTCGGGAAGCCTAGGTCAGAACAGATAACCACAATGGGGTGGCCACTGACCTCAAGCCAGATATCCTGGGCCTTAGGAAGTCTGAGCAACAACAAAGCTAGTGGAGGTGACAGTATTCCAGCTGAGCTATTCAAAATCTTAAAAGACGATGCAGTAAAAGTGCTACACTCAATATGCCAGCAAATTTGGAAAACTCAACAGTGGCCACAGGATTGGAAAAGATCCATTTACATTCCAATTCCAAAGAATGGCAATGCCAAAGAATGCTCAAACTATTGCACCATTGCACTCATTTCACATGCTAGCAAAGTTATGCTCAAAATCCTACAAGCTAGGTTCTAGCAGTATGGGGACTGAGAACTACCAGAAGCACAGGCAGGATTTCGAAGAGGCAGAGGAACTAGAAGTCAAATTGCCAACATATGCTGGATCATGGAGAAAGCTAGGGAGTTCCAGAAAAACATCTACTTCTGCTTCATTGACTATGCTAAAGTCTTTGATTGTGTGGGCCACAACAAATTGTGGCAAGTTCTTAAAGAGATGGGAGTACCAGACCATCTTATTTGTCTCCTGAGAAACCTATATGTTCCATGTCCAGTGAGAACTGGACATGGAACCACTGATTGGTTCAAAATTGAGAAAGGAGTTTGGCAAGGCTGTATACTGTCGCCCTGCCTATTTAACTTATATGCAGAGCACATCATGAGAAAGGCGGGCTAGATGAATCAAAAGTTGGAATTAAGATTGCTGGGAGAAATATCAACAACCTCAGATATGCAGATGATACCACTCTAATGGCAGAAAGTGAAGAGGAACTAAAAAAAAACCCTTCTGATGTGGGTGAAAGAGGAGAATGCAAAAGTTGGCTTGAAACTTAACATTAAAAAACTAAGATCATGGCTCCCAGCCCTCTCAGTTCCTGGCAAAAAGATGGGGAAGAAATGGAGGTAGTGACAGATTTTATTTTCCTGGGCTCCAAGATCACCGCACATGGGGACTACAGGCAAGAAATTAAAAGACACTTGCTCCTGGGGAGGAAAGCTATGGCAAATCTACACATCTGACTAAAAAGCAGAGACATCACTCTGCCAACAAAAGTGCGTATAGTCAAGGCTATGGTTTTCCCAGTTGCAATGTATGGTTGTGAAAGTTGGACCATAAGGAAGGCTGAGCATCAAAGCATCGAGGCCTTTGACCTATGGTGATGGAGAAGACTCCTGCAAGTCCCTTGGACTGCAAGGCGATCAAACCAGTCAGTCCTAGAGGAGATCAACCCTGACTGCTCTTTAGAAGGCCAGATCCTGAAGATGAAACTGAAATACTTTGGCCACTTAATGAGAAGGAAGGACTCACTGGAGAAGAGCCTAATGCTGGGAACGACTGAGGGCAAAAGAAGAACGGGACGGCAGAGAATGAGGTGGCCGGATGGATTCTCTGAAGCAGTCGATGTGAGCTTAAATGGTCTCCAGGGGATGGTAGAGGACAGGAAGGCCTGGAGGAAAGTTGTCCATGGGGTTGCGATGGGTGGGACACGACTTCGCAACTAACAACAACAATTATCTACAGCATCTGCACCAGTGGTGGGTTGCCCCCAGTTTCCACCGGTTCTATAGAACCGGTAGTAAAACCAGCGGGAGACCCCGCCCACTGACCCTGATGTCATGAAAATGCTTTTGTGCATTCGCAGAAGCTTCTGCGCTTGTGCAGAAGAGCGCATGCACGCACGAGCAACGCGCGCGTACACGCATGGCTCCGTTCCAAAACAGTAGTAAAGGTAAGTAGAACCCACCCCTGATCTGCACACCCTGGTTTTGTTAGTGAAGACCAACAAACCTTTATGAAATTGAATTGTACATCAAGATATGTATGCCGATAAAGTAATATGTTTTAATAGGTTTCTTGGTTTTGTTTAGTCTCCATTGCCTATTGCTTAAAAAACAGGAACCTATTTTATTATCTCTCCCACTTTGGTCCTTAACTAACCATGCTAACTATCTGATTTCCATTTGTTCCAATTATATTGCCGTATCTCACTTACTTTGCATTCATTCTGTTCCATGATAATTGATTTCAAGGCTCAGTTGGCCCGGCCTATTTCATTCTAAGTTCATTCTAAGTTCATTAGACCGCATTGATTGCATTCTCAAACATTAGCAGATGGTATTTTGCCAGACAAAGTCTTTTTTTTTCCTGACAGTGCTTCTTGCCAATTTACTTTTTTTTCCTGCCAAGGACTTCAGTAAGATCTGGATCTGATTTATTCAAACAACAATAACACTTTTGTGTTTTTTTTACAACTGCAGCTCCACAGGAGCTACAGAACCTGTAGCTGTAATTACGAGAATATCAACTATTTTATCTCAATTAGTTTGTACAGGGAAAAAAATATGATAGAAAGAATATAGCCTCAGAACTTCAGTTATCCCAAAAGGTGACAATAAATGGATAAAAAATAAAGCCATGTTGTGGAAAATGTTGTTGCTACATGGAAATGTTTTAGAAAAGAATGTGAAATAAAGATATCTGTAGCACTGTTACATGATTTTAGCCCTAGGGGGCACTATATTGAAATGTATCTGTAACTTTCTATTCTTATTCAATTTTCCCAGTGAATGTTATTTGAAAAGAGTGAATTTGCTGGAAATAGAATTTAGAAGTTGTTAGTATCCTACGATTCTAAATCACTTCCCCCTACCCCTTTTCCTATACACATTACATTTTTAAACCTTTCTTAGAGCCTATCATTTTGACTGCTTCCGTGGTCCTTGCTCATTTGTTATATCCAATTTATAAATATGTGCATATAGAATGTCAAGATGCCAATTCCAGAGTTCCAGAATTGTCTTATGATTAATCAACCAGCTATATTTATCCTTGCTAATTTGTTACATCCAGTTAGAGTGTGTGTGTGTTTGGGTGTATATATACACATACACATACACATACACATACACATACACACACACACAGAATAAACACACACAAATTATGTTACTCAGAACTTTCATATAAATAATGAATTAGCTTTATTGTTTGGCTAAATTCAGAAGTTGCATTAAATAATTATTTCTTTTAATTGTATACACCACAGTTAAGAATTAGTATAACTTGTGAATCCAGCAGCTTTAAATGATCAAACTCAATATCTTCCCTTGGCTTTTCCCTCTCAAGGATGTATCTTTGAATCATGATAAAAAATTTCTCATTATTTATTAGTTATTATTATACTTTTAATCTACCAAATAATACACATTTCCTCAGAAGATTATAACATTAAAAAGAATAAAACAGAAAAATAATTGCAAACCAATATTTTATTTAAAAGCAATTGTTCATTTCTGAGCTTTTTGCAACTGATTCTTGAAGAAATATTGTGGTGAGATGGATGGCAAATAATAAATTAATAAATATAAATATTAATATTAAAATTAATATTAATATTAATAATAATAATAATAATAATAAATTAAATTAATAATAAAATTAATAATAAAATAAATTAAATAAGTTAATAAATAAATAACTAAAATATTTTGCTTAAAAGTTTAGTGGTACTGGCAATATTTTTTAACCTGCCTTTTACATCAAATAAAGTTCTGGAAATGATATCTATTGTATACTTCTACACTGGAATACATCGTATTTGATGACCATTCATCACAATGAGAATTTTATAAACACTTTAACTAGAAGCATGTTTCTAAATAGAAAACACAATAAAGGCTTCAGAAAAATAAATGGAAAAGAAACCAGATCATGCTTGGTTTGAAACAAAAATCAGACAATAAGCTAAAATTGCCATTACAAGCTCTTTCTTCTGGTTATGTCTTCACTAATTCTCTTTTCTTTGGCAGGTGACTTTCAGCAAGTATTGCAATTCTACAGATCTTATGGAGCTCTTTTGCATTGCTACAGGATTACCAAGGTAAAAATATTTTCTGAGGACTCTTTACGTGAACTACTAAAATTAAATTTCTTCTATCCATGATTATAAAGAGCATTGTCTATCATTATAAAATATGGAAAATATCATGTAAGCATATTTATGTATTTTAAACAATGCAAATATTGCTTTTTCATTCTTTCTTAAAAATTTGACCTATAAGCAATAACCCATACAGAGTGTGAAAATTACTTAAAGAAAATGAGGGGCCACCAGATTTCATCACCAATGTTGCTTTAAAAAATCCAGAATTCTAGGTTTCTATGCTATTGAACTAAAATCCTTACAACTCTGTAAAGTAAATCAACATTTTTCATCTTCCTTTTTTTACATATGGGACTAAGTTTGAAAGCAAAGAGACCTGGGTATTTATGGATTCATATTAGAGTCTTTTTAGCTTCTGTGGTGCATTAGCTCTAATAAACATGGAACCTCAGGCCAAACCTCCTCTCAGAATTAGCAGGCAGATTCAAAGAGAAGCAGTTATCTTAGCTCCAGGCTGTTTAGTGCTTTAAATATAACCAGCATTTGTAACATGAATGTTCTGCACTATATAGTGTACTGACAGAATGGGTTCTTTTTAAAAGCTGGTAGAAAACTAAACTGCCATTTCATTTTGTAGAATGAAAACTGAGTATATTATAATATTTCTCCTATAGTGATATTACAACTACTGTAAGTGAAGGTAGTTTATCACTTATATATCTTTCTTTAGCTCTCATCATTATGTTAAAAATTGAAAGAAAGGGTGTAAAACTTCTGTTTTGATATTTGAATTCTGCCTTAGGCTTTATTCACATATGAAAGGCATAAACAACTCATAAATATTCACTGTATTGAAAATTAACATAAAACCAAATTGGCTTGTGTAACCATCTTGCACTTTGCACACTGCCTATGTAGCTTCAGTCCCTGATGGTTGTTGTTCCAGCAGCTGTCAGCCAGGGCATTCACCTCTGCAGAGTTTTCCTGATGGTTGATTTTGAGGTTTGGTCACCTAGCTAAAACTGAATTATAATTTAGATTAAAGATTCACTTCAGATGTTTACTTTAATCTTTCATAATTTTCATAAGTGGTGTATAATATTGAAAAAGTCAGCTAGCTAAAGATTGTTCTTCTAATGGTGCTCTTAAGACCCATACTATTCACATTTGCAACAGGCACCTGACTCATTTCATCTACATGTAATTGCTATCCTATTAATGCATGTACCTCATAAATCTCTGCAGTACCCTTAAGCCAAAGTGTTTTGTTCTTGGTGCTCTCTATGACTCTCTCACTTTCCCTTAATGTAGATCAAAGAATGTCAACAGTCTGGACTACTGAAGCCTTCTGTTTTATTGCCACATAGGTTTAATTTAACAATCTAAACAATTAATACATGGCTGGTAAATGCACCTTTCTCAACACCACCACCCCAATTAACTTGCTTAATTTTCAGGTTAGAAATAAAGCTTTAAACCTGCCCTGAAAAATAATATTTCTGGCATACATACATTTGCAGAGAAATTACCAAAAATGCTTTAAGATGCTCCTCTGTAGAGCTCTTGCAAAAAAAGCAGTTTTGATTCCAGGTGGACCAGGTAAATGAAAGTAGTATAGGGAACAGTACTTGTTATAGTTTTTTTTCTAATCCATTCAATCTCTGAGCATTGTGTTACTAGAAACACTAAAATAATAACAATATAATCAATTCATTTAAAACAATGTAGGGAAATTATAATAAAAACACACAAAAGCCATTATCTCAATATAATATAGGTACTTAAAACTAACTGAAAATATAGAAAAAAAGGCTTTTCTTCTAACTGGGAAAGATGCTTAATTTTTATGCTTCTTTTGCTGGTATTACATGTCAACTAAAAAAGCAGGGCTTTTATTCCTGTAAATAAGTGTCTAATAAAGGCATGTAACCATCTTACAACATTTCAAATTTTAAAATATCATCATAAAATGTAATGCGAAATCATGTATTTCTTTAGATCTTAGAGTAATATAAAAACCTTTCATATTTTACCATCTGGACTGCTTTCAAAGGAAAGTAAACAGATTCATGCAGAGGTATATCAACCATATCAGTTGCTTCAGCAGAACTGCACTCATTTCCTTCTTGAGAGAGCAGTAAGAATACAGATCTGTTTCATAATGTTATAATTGAACTATCTGAATATAAAGAAGTGAATTATCTGACTATTACTCACGGCTAAGAGATGAAAAAGCGAGTGCATTGTTGTATAATATTTTAACTGAATCATCATTTTCATTTGTATGATTAGCACGGTTCCAATTAACAGTGAGATAATGCATGCAATGAACATGTGATGCAATACCAGGAATATTTCTGAAGTCATGTCAGGTGCAGAAAATGCAATTCAGTCTACATTTATTAGGAAAGAGCTTGTCCATTTTAGACGGATACATACCCACATGGCAATAGCATGTGTGTCCAAAAAAATAAGATTGCAGCTATACTTTCTTTTTATTCTCCCACAGATGCTCCTGCAAAAATCCTAGGCCATTTCTCATTTTTGTGCAGCTGAAATCTATATGCATGCATCTGTATATTCACTTTCTGCTGAATGTTCAGAGAATACACAAACAATAGTGGGGGGTACCCTAAAATTATGATCACACTTTCCACTGCAACATAAGGTATTTGTTTAAATATGCCAGCCTTTCCTAACCTGGAATTCAACAATCATATTCTGCTGTTTTTGTTTTGTTTCTTCTCTTAAATAATTGTAGTCCTTTGTCTCTTTAAGAAGGCATCAACTTTTTAAACTACCTGTCAAACTTCCCATTAAAAACATGAGATTACAGTGCAAAGCCTGGGTTCTAACCTGGTTAAATAAACCTAGCTTTAAACTTTATCTTCCAGGAATACAACCATTTCACTCTTCACAGCTGATGACTGCATGGTATCCATTGATCCCATGATGCCAACCAACTCCGAAAGGCAGGTATATCTTGTTATGGTTGAAGCTAGCTTCACAGAATGGAGTTTTTCACTCACTAGTTGTCCTTTTGTATTCCTGATTGATGGGAGACAGCAAAAATTGCTATTACTACTCTAAAGACCCATTTAAAACTAAAACTTATTTTAGTTTTAAATATTAAAACTACTACTTTATTATTAAAATATATGGAGTTTTATCTGGGGGGGGAACCATGCCACAAAGAATTAGCTTATATAAAAACAAAATATCTGAGTTTCTCTGAGGCTTACATTGAGATTATAGGCATTGATGGTCCTTTACTAGAAGAAACAAACAAAACATCATTCTGAATGCAGGGAGTTTGAGACATGTATTAATTAGTGGTCAGGAAGCCTAAGGCTCTCCTATTCCCAAAGTTTCTCTTCTTTTCCCAGAACTTCTCTATTTCTGCTATAATTTCCCATCACAGCTATTTACACTTAAAGTCAGTCTTATCCTTCACACTGTAATCCTCCCAGCCTCAGGCAGACATAAACTATCACTGGTATATTCCATTAAAGTTTGCAGAATTATATATGTAATTAGCATGGTCTGTTCATAGTCAAGATCTCCTGACTTTATTGAAGGTGAGCAGGTAAGTGTTCTTTACTTAAATAATAAGCTCCTCTAGCAATCTTTTGTTTTGCAACATATCATTTAAGTTGGCTACTAAATGCATATCCTGCCTTTTCTTCAGAAGACCAAGGGATGTGCATAGCACTCCTTTTTCCTCCCAATAGTGTTAATCATTTGAAATTAAAAAAAAAATATGCTACAAGGTGTTTTCCCCCCCTTCTTGTAGGACTCCTTACAAAGTAATACCTGTGGCCACTGGACAGCAAACAGGTAAATTATATTTTAAAGTAAAGTAATTTTAGAACTTTTCTCAAGGTTGTAAACCTGTATTGAAGTATTTGAATTTCACTGATACAATACTTAAGTCAGAATTGAAAATAAATTTACTGGGCATCTATGGAGATTCTTAGTCATCCAGGTCATGGTTGTCCCAAAGGTGCTTTTTAATGGGAACTGGACTTTCTGGTTTTTCTTTTAAGACATTTTGCTTCTTGGATGAGAAGCAAAACGTCTTCAAAGAAAAACCAGAAAGTCCAGTTGCCTCTTGAAAAAGCACCTTTTTGGGAAATTTCCTGGGCACTTTAAGCCCATTAATTTTTATAAGATAGTCCCACTCTTAAAGTAGAATAACTGTCCCATAGGAGATATCATTTTACAGTTTCTGTATTATTTTCATGTAGTTGACTCATCAGTTTGTCAACACTTAAATTCTATAATGTACTTACATCTGGTATGATCATATATTAAAGCAAGCCAATCATTCTGATACAACCTGAAAAAGTGCAAATTACTTGCAAAGAGAATCAATAATAAGTAACTTATTGTTTATATTCTTGTTCATCTTACAACCGCCTACAAGGTTCAGCTACTTATGACATATCTACCAGTAGAATAAATTCTCTTTATTTTCTGTAGCCTTCTGTATCTCTCCAAAATTTATTGCAGCCTATTACTGGAATTTGATATGATATAGTGGGTCTTCCCATGGGAATAGCAGAAAAAAAGAGACATCATATAAACAGAAATTAGTTGTCACTCTATATTTTGAAACCAAGCATAAAATACTTGTTTGAAAATTCAGAGAAAGAAGAAATTCTCAAACAATTGCTCACAAAAAGTAAACTACTGCTACTACTACTATTACAATTACAATTACTACTACTGCTACTGTTGCTGCTGCTACTACTACTACTATAATTTCTTGGGATGAGGGGTTCCTTCAGTATCCCTTTCCTTGGAATTTAACTAAAGGATGGGAAACCAGAAAGATGTAGGTTGCTGAAGAGATTAATACAATTTATTACATAATAAGAAATTATTACAAGGAATACATAAGAATATGAATTTCTCACAACATTTGCTTCTCTTTCAAAAGGTTTGTTGGAACAGAATATTTTTATATAAAACTGAAAGTGAACTGACTAAAAAAAGAATTAAGAATTCTAACTGGAATAAAAGTGTCCATTCAATGGCAAAATACACTTGTAGATAACCGACTTACTTTATCATTATTTACTTTTTCTATATCTGATCAGCTCAAAAGTATGAGATGATTCTTTCTCCTTAAGCAAATGTGTTTTTTAAAGACCAATGATACAAGGTACTTAGTTATCAAGTTACTGTCAGGAACAAAACAAAAGACAAGTGATCTCCAGGGATATGACTAAGAATGTTGGATCAGCACAGATTTATACAACTGCCCTAGGATGAAGTTCATATAAGATACAAGCCAATTTATCCAGTTGGTAAATACGACTTCAGAAGAATCCCAAGGAGTTTGCTGAATATTAAGGATAGGTCCTATCACTTTTATGCCAAATTTGTAATGTGCCACCAAGACTATGTTGTTTAATCATATAGTGACATAGTTCTTGGATTTTTAAAAAAAGTGTTATTCTGGCAGCAAACCCTTTTTCCTAATGCTTTGACCTAGAAAGGCCTGAATGTAATCACAGCTGTGCTGCTGGGGGTGGGGGGGATCAAGAATTGTTTCATGGCTTCTTTCCTGATTGTTGCTGTAAAATTGACACTGATAGGAATCCTTTATTCTTAATTAAACTTTCATTGATTGCTGAGAACTGTCTGGGAAAATCACCTTGCTTTTGCTGGGTGGCTAAGTCATCTAATTATGTCATTCTTCCACATGATTTTTGCTGATGGATCTTGTGGCCATTGCTTGCTTCCAGATTTAAATCACTCTTTTGTTCCCAGATGTTTTGGGGACAAAAGAGGGCTTTTGGATTTTTAGATATCTAGCGCTGAGATATTATGCTTTCCTGGGACAATTCATTATAACAATATACTCATGGAACACTACTTGTATGACTGTCAACACTCATAGCTAAGAAAGAGCTCTTGAGACAATAGATGAGGGTTTTTTCCCCTAGAATTCAAGAAAAATAAGTACTTGAGCCAGTTCCAAGATTAGTTGAGATTAGTTCAGCCAGCACTTCAGGACAGATTCAAGCAAATATTGTTAATGTGCAGTTCTCTAACTGGAGGGAAAGATTCAAATGTTCCAGCACTTCCATGGTCCAGTTTCCTTTGAAGGGACATCATGGGATACTAATTATGTCATATTTATAAACATTCATGCTGACAATAGCTGAAGCTGTCTATCTAAATACCTTCTAAATGCCCTAAGCCTTCTGTGGCTCCACATTCAGTATCACTGTTCTGAATCTGGCTCTGTCTTTCAAAATGACAAGCATTTTACATGTGGGTGGAAACATCTGAATTATCTCACTTCCTTGGGAAGGGAGAAGGAGAAGTGGAAGAAGATAAAGCATGCTGACTTCTAGTCCTGCTGCTACACAATACTGACCACATGTCTGCTGCTAAACAGTGTGAAACAATAGCTGTGGGCTAGACTTCAACAGGTCAGTGAAAATGCCTATTTATCTGTTTATCTTTACCTTTTCACCTTCTTTTCAAACAGTTGCTTTGTTTGATTTGAGCTCTGACACAGATATCTAGAAATTAGTCCAAGGCCCTTATGAAATTAAATGGCCCTAAGACTGCAAATTTCTGATTGAGAAATTGTTCAAAAAAGGGCATTTCAGCAAGAGTTGTCTTATTTATGCAAAAGATAACAGTTGGCCAGATTCCCTTTCCAAACACTATAAAATAAAAACAAAAACTACAAACCTCGCCTAATCTTCCTCTCTAGCCGATCACTCTAAGCACAGGAAACTACTACTACAGTGCATAAATATGGAAAATGAAATAGGGGCATATATTTTTCTTTCTGATATTTATGCACAATCCTGTCCTATTGACTCATGTAAGACAGTTCAAGAATACAATGCATAAATACCTGCATTGTGCTGTTTAAATATTTCCTTTATTGTGATCTTTCCTGGCATTTTGGCATGACAAATTTAGGTGCACAGGGAGGAAACCACAGCAAGCCATCTAACAAGGTATTTGTTAGATGCCTTAAGGTGTCCCCCCCCAAAAAAATAATTTCCCTTAATCTTTTAAAACAAATTAAATGCAGGGAATTAAAACATGCTATAAAAGGCAGGAATAAATTCTCATGTTTTTATATAGATCCTGCTCTGGTTGTAACAGCCTGCATTCATGAACAGCACAACAGATTTTAGTTTGTTGCATTCACATCCACTGGTTTTCTGGCCAAATCTGAGGGTTGAGATAATGTGACTTAAGCAAAAGAGGTCAAATAAACTACTTTGTTCCCACACTGCAGGTGTTGCATCCACAGCATGAGCCCCTGTGGAATATCATGTACTCATCCTGGGAAGGGCTCCCATTGACGTCAGGCTAGGGACCTTGCGGAGTGCATAGCACATAGATCAAGAATGACTAAATCCAAGGCAGCCAGAGGGAAAACCTGGGTTTTACCCTGCAGCTGTTACCTATTAGTAATTTCTGCATTTTTTTCAAGGATTCTGAAGGGTGAGAGGAAGAATCTGGTTTTCATGGCTAATCCCCAGGTTTGAAAACAACTCCAACACAAAAAACAACCCCTCAACCAATCCACGCACCCACACAAAAAGCACTTCACTTCCTAATGATCCTCACCTGACATGACCTCCCAATCACAAGACCTACAGACCTTTTAAGCAGAAGAACACCAACATTGACATCCCCTAAATTCTGCTGAATATGTTACCTAGCCTGGTAACAAAACGTTCGGAAACCAACCCACAAGCTCAGAGAACGAACCTCCACCCTCATCCCTTGCCTGAGCTATAGATATTTGCCACTATCACAAACAAAAATACATTACTTTTGAATTACTTAAATCTTGACATTTTATGGGGAAAATAAACCTACAACTGTGGCCCCCCACCCATGGAGAAATCATGGGTGCATGTTTGAGTGAGCAGAAATAGAGAAAAGGTTTGCATGGAAACCATATGTTGTTTGTCACCTCCTTCAGGACATAGTGAGTGGGATAGTCCAAAGAATGGCCTAAACAGTTATTTTGGCACAGCATGTTACTTTTGTACAAGGGACTGCCTAACAAGATCGTTACTTGTTCTCCCTAATAATGCTTTGAACACTATCGTAGTTAATCATAAATTCTCACTGAACCAAAAGGTCATAAAAACATCCACTTTCCCTCTTACTGGGCCACAGATGGGATGATATTGATAACAAGGAATTATACATGGAAAATTACTGTTTGCTGTCAGTGCATTGTTATTACAAAAGTTTGTAAGTGCAACAGGATTACCACAGATATTTTCACATCTACGTTGATAAGAATACCTTAACCACTCTAAGGAAGATTTGTAGCCAGGCACTCTATGAGTTGTCTTTGGAAAAGTCTAATGAAAATTCAGAATATAGCAGGCATTTTTATATGGGTCAGGCAACCCATCCTTTGCAGCAGATGCACTGACTTTCAGTGTTTTTTAAGCTAAATTTTCCTACACAGTTCACCTACACCTTTATGAAAGGAGAATTTCTTTATGCTTACACCTAGAATCTTTTTATCTAGAGAAAATTACTTTTCACGCTGATATATTTTCAGTAAGGACAGATCCTTCCTTCCTTCCTTCCTTCCTTCAAAAATGATTTCACTATTCAAATTTTTCCTATAGAACATTTTTAGCTGGTTCTCCTTGTATGCCACTGCCAATGTTGTTTTTTTGTTCAATTGCCAGAGTTCTTCCCATTTCTCCAATTCTATTGAATATTTAAAATTTTGCATCCATTTAATCATCATGTTTTTAACTATTTCCTCCTCTATCTTATATTGCAGTAAGAATTTGTAGATTTTACTGATTAGTTTCTCTTCG